GTTTTGCCATTGCCTTCTTCTGTGTGTGTGAATGGAGTAATTGTTGGGACGCCACGGAGAAACCGGGGAAGCCCCCGGAGGAAAATTCCGTGTTGCCTAGACCACGGCCTTGCCCAACACAAGTTATCAATTCTGGCACCGCCGGGAATCGAACCCGAGACCCCCAGGATTACAAGGCCAGCGTTCTAACCGCTAGACCACCTCATCTTATTATTATTTAGTGTTCTGTCTGACGACAGGTCCATATGAACAGGATCCTTCCATCCTTTTCTCGGACTGGAACCTGTTCATATACGTTCTTGGCAGATGATCCAGAAGTGGTTTGCCATTGCCTTCTTCTGTGTTTGAATGGAGTAATTGTTGGGATGCCACGGAGAAACCGGGGAAGCCCCCGGAGGAAAATTCCGTGTTTCCTAGACCACGGACATTGAAAGTAATTTATGGTTTGTTTTGAGATACAAACTGGAAGACCTCTGCCCTCATATCACTGTGCTTACACACAGCGGAAAATCAAACGTTATCAGTTCCGTACTTAGACTTTAATAATGTTGTCGAATATAAATCGTGAGGGTCTGAATCGAGAAAGATGTGCTGTGATCGAGTAGACAAAATTTCGGAACCTTGAATTTTTATTTGTACACAAGTTGTTTGTGGCCTTGTCAATTAACGCTGTGTCATTTATGTCGTCTGTAGGTCAGTTTGCCCAAGTCGTGACAACATAGGCCACATGTATCAAGGTCACGTAGAATTAAAAGCGATAAATAATTTTTAATTCAGTTTCGTTGCTTTGCTGGAAAGGCAAAACGTACTGGAGAGACCGAAGAATGAAGTCAATCTACATAATTTGGTGATCTGTATACATGATCAGTACTGACCCTGTCGATGTCGCTGTCGTAATACGAAAAAAAAAAAATGCCATCGCCATTTTCGAAATTGTTATTAAGTATAAAATAGGTTTCATAAAAATATCGTTCATGTTTTGTAACTATACAAAACACTACATGTCGCAAAAAAAAGGTTTAGCCCTCCGGATAAGTTTTTGAGAGGTACTGAGTTGAATCTGGAGTCGACAATCCTGTTTCCTCAGTCGGGATAGTATTTTTAATAGGCTAAGGCCGCTTCCTTTCAAGTTTCTTCTTCAATCAGCCATTTGCACAGAAAGGCTTATATCCTGTGGTGGTAAAAATTTGTCATTAAATGCATTAAAATTTAATCTATCAGCACAAAATTTAAATAGCTCTGAACAGTTGAAGTTATACCTTGTAATTTTGGGCTTTATGAAGTGGTTAATTGGTTAGGTAGATAGCTGATTAGCTACTTGCACCCCCCCGCCTCTACCTTCTTCGTATACTGACTATCAAATTGAGTAACTATCTATCAAGTGAGTTGGTGGATTGTTTGGCTGGATTATCAGTTAAAGAGAGAGTTCTTATAAAAACAGATATATACAGTTAAACAACAAATTTTTGAAATACATAAAGTTATATTTATCTATTTTCTATTGCTTTGTTCTTTTTCCTTAGTATACGCAAAATGTATGTAATATTTTAATATATATTTTGGTTAATTCTGACTATGAACTAAGCCGGTAGGTTCAAAGACCATTTTATAGGAAAAAAGATTTTTTGAATCTTGAAAATAATAAATTGTGTTTGGCATAGCTTGTAAGCTTCAAATTCAGTTCGTAGCTTCCAGAAAATCTTACTTCTTTCAGGTCACTACGTTTCCGATAAATGATTCACTGACCCTCGTGCACTATCTGTAAGGATATTTGTAATACATGTAGCACGTAAGTTATAAGGATCTTAGAAGTCGATGGTTGCTCCACACGTTATATGGAACCCGAATATTACTAAATTCCCATTAAAATTTATACTGAACCAATTGAATCAAGTCTACATCATCACAGCCGATGTTTTAGAAATATATTTTAATATTATCATCCGTTCTCGTGAGTGATGTCTTCCTTTAAATTTTCACACCATAATTTTTATACATTTTTCATCTTCACTTTTCTCCATGCAGCATAAATCCCATAATTTATTGAACACGAAAATTAATTATGGTTTTCACAAGAGACCACCTGTACTGTATATCGTGAGGTTGCAGAATCCAATCCACATCCTCTCATCCTATTCCCCAAGATCCATTTTAATATTATCCGTCCAATTACGTCTATGTCTTCTCTCCAATATTATCCGTCCAATTACGTCTATGTATTCTCTTATATGCGTTCTGTATGCCTCACTCAACTCACAGGCGTAATTTAGTCACTTTAATGAAGTTTACAAAGGATGAAGCTTCTACTGTCTGTCGTACAAAATTACAAAACCCTGGATTCAATGGCTCTGATTTTTTTCCCCACCTCAGACGTTGGCACAGATGAGATGTCGGTGTTATTAACTAAAAAAAAAATTCAACGTACCACAGTGGTGTTCACTTTAATGAGCTAATTGGCTTAGAAGTTGTTATGGGCTGGACATAGGGTGTGTAAGAATACCGCACACACTTTGTGTCTCATCCGTAAGTCATAAGGAAATTAGACTGAACTGTGCTACCGTGTTTCTAGTGAGACTGAAGTTATTTTGGCACACTGTATATTTAAAGACAGAGGCTGGGCGAGTTACATGGATTTTTGCCCTCTGGCGCCCTTGGGGGGAGGGGGGGGGATAAAGCGTGACCCATAAAAACTCGCGTAATTAGTGACTACATTCCGGAGTGTTATAGGCCTGGTGAGTTCAAGAATATGGCGCTTCGAGGTCCTAACCTACGTCTTCGTTATTTTAATAACAGCTCAACATCTTTTTCAGAGGAATTTAAAATACGCCACAAATAAAAATATTTCACATTTTTGCATAATAAAACGTTTTTTTTTTTAAAAATTTTGTCTGCGTTTTCTACGTCTTTGTAACTCCATTGGTCATGCTATTAATTGGTGGCATAATTATGAACTAAGGCTAATGATGATTTTTATGTTAATTTATAACGATGTATTAACTCCTAAGACTTCTTTTCAAATGCACTGTGATAGAAAGCTTAAGAATGAAGCATTATGACTGAAAGTGAAATGTATATTTACGTGTCATGCCTGAAGAAACTGAGACATGTAAACAAAGTTATTCCTGGTACTTAATTAAGCACAAAACCACGAAGACATGTAGGTGAACGGGAATGTAGCCTCACGCTCCGGTCGATTTGTCCCTGGTAAAGAGCCCTGATTACCACTGGGAGGGGGCTGAGTGTGCCCCATAGCGGTGGCCAAGAAAATATTCCTTATCGATGTCAGGAATCCAACCCAGATAGTATTGTCCATAACCACATTACTGTATTTTCAGAACTATCCTGGCTGATACATAAACTGAGGAAAAGCACGATAAATATTATTATAATCTTTCTAGTTACTTATTACTCATACGAAATTCTTAATGGAAATCTCGTGTCTATCCATCAGCATGTTTAATGTCAGAAACTGTAACATAACACTTACTCGAAATATAGATCTGAAATGTAACAAATCAGTTTTAACAAATAGAAGTAATTTTTTAAATACCATATAATATAAACCTCGTTAAAATACGAGTACATCATAAAATCTGTTTACTCAGAGATGAGCCATGTCCGGGGTCAGTGATAAAAACCCTAACCTA